ATTAAGTAATATAAACCTTTAAAAGAGTAGAAAGTGCCCAATGAACAAAGCTTCTTATGGGCTAAGTTTGAGACCAACCTTGGGGCATCATATTGTACTTCATATGACTGTCAGGTTAGCCAACAAGGGTCACTTATCAATCTAATATAATCCTCTAAAGAAGTAGTTTATGTAGGTCCAATGAAAGGAACTTCTTCGTAGCCAAGTTCTAGAAAAATCTATTGGGAACCAAGTTATATTTAGCAGCTAGACAGACCGTCATGTTTGTGAAGAAGAGCATAGGCTGAATTCTTTAACAACACAGTAGCAATTACTAAAATGGCAAGCGAATTGGCGTTTGATCTACCTTATGGAGTTGGGAACGAGAACGATATTTTGGAGCTTTCATATGACACATTTGCTGAAGAGTTGCAGCTCCAGGAAATCTTGGAGGGGTCCAGGATCATTTCTGAAATTACCACAAGTGAACCGTCATCCATCTCATCATCCTCACCATTACCCTCACCAACTTCGACACCTGAAGCAATTTCACCACCTGGTTCCGAGATATCTCTGGAAGAGTTAGAGAGAGGTTAATCATCCCTATTCTTCTCAAATATTTGCTTAAATTAGAAACAGGATTTTAATGTTCAAACTTCAATTTTCTTTAGATTACATAAAGATTATATGTATGGAGAAAGATTAAAAAAAATAATGCAAATTCTGTAACATGTCCAGCTTTTAACTTCAGGACTGAAAAAGAGCTGCAAGATGCTGTCTGTGAAGCAATCAAAAAAGAGCTGCACAATGCTGTCTGTGAAGCAATCAAAAAATCTGAGTGTCCTGTCTGCCATAGATCGTTCAGCACGGAATATACAATCCCCCAGGATTCAGGCCTTAATTGCCAAGAGCAACAATCGATCAACTGCGATGAGTTAGGAAGAGGGCATGCCCAGAGTTCAGGGCTTAGTTGCAATGAGCAACAGAGGATCAACTGGGATGAGAAAAGAAGAGAGCATTTCATGGCGGGGAAACCTGGATGGAGGAGATCAACGAGACATTCCAATTCGAAGTTCAACGGAAGAAGGATGGGAGACATTCCTCAAACCAGTTCCAGGTCAGTGTTTTTCATAATCACCACTTGATTAATAACAAAAGGAAAAGAAACTTGTTTGGATAATATTACAACTAATATTTATTTAAAACAATGATCCAGCCGCAAATTTCATGCAAATATGAGTTCGAGGGGTGAAGACGTTCTTATTGCTGGTACTGGTAACACCCAAGATCCAAAGGGAAAAGGCATAGCAATAGATGATGACTGGTTGCTGTACTCTCAGAGGAAACCCAATAGCAATAGAAATGTTGTTCATGAAGATGATGAAGATGACTTGGATGATGAAAGAGGCATGAGAGTCGCAAGAAGAGCAAATGGTTTAAGGAATTTTTTGAGAGAATGGACGCGTTGAATGTCGAGGAGATCGACGAAAGCATGTGGCACTGTCCAGCATGCCAAGGTGGTCCTGGTGCCATCAAATGGTACAGGGGCATCCAGGACCTCATAGCACATGCTAAAAAGATAGGAGCAAGAAGGGTGAAACTACACCGAAATCTTGCAGAGCTTCTAGAAGGGGAACTGCAAAATAAGGCAACTTCAGTTGCTCCTGCTGACCAAATACTTGGTAACTGGAAAGGTTTAAAAGAGGATGCAAAAGATTGTGAAATAGTTTGGCCTCCCATGGTTGTCATTATGAACACAATGACAAGCATTTATAAGGATGGAAAGGTAAGATGATCTGATTTTATTTTGGTTCATAGCAGTTGAATTAATTTCATTCTTAGTTGCCATTACTGATGCTGATTTTTAGTAATTCTGGTTAAACTGAAAAAGTAAATTCTTTCATCTAAAATGCAATCTGCAACTTCTTTTTACTGAATTGGATTTCAGTGCGTTGGCATGGGAAGTCAAGAGCTTCTCAAGCATTTCAGCTCGTATCCTGCTTTGAAGGCTCAACACTCCTATGGTCCCCAAGGTCACCGTGGACTGAGTGTCTTGGTTTTTGAGAGCTCAGCAGTAGGTTATTTAGAGGCTGAGCGTCTGCATAAGAATTTTATGGAGAAAGGATTAGGTAGAATTGCTTGGAATTCTTGTCCAGGCGTGGTCCTGCCAGGAGGAGAGCGCCAACTTTATGGTTTCATGGCAGTGAAGGAAGACCTGTATATCTTCAACCAGCATTTCCAAGGTGCTCTCTCCCTTCTGTGTCTCTTTAGATACTTTTAATGGTTTCAATTACTTGCCCTGGATCATTCAACTGCATCTCCTGAATACAGAACGACTGACATGCATTAAGTTTACTCTTGTTTACAGTCCATATTCTCTTCAAGTGACACGTTATTTCTATTGATCAGGTAAATCAAAGATCAGATATGAGCTGAAATCATATCAAGAGGTGGTTCTTAAGGAAATCGAGAAAATGAGCGAGGATAGCCAACAATTTATCCTGTTGAAGGACAGGCTTGAAGAAGAAAGAAGACGCGTAACAACTTTTGAAGGATCCGTTAATAATCTGAGTAGGAACCTGCAACAGAAAATGAATGACATCCATATTTTCAAACAGAGGGTCCAATTACTGCATGAACAAAACAAGGAAGAGGTAATAGACTCAAAAAAAAAAAATCCAGATAAATTTTGTTTTATGCATTAGGTTGGTACTAACGGAAACAATATTAAGTACATTTTAATGGTGACTGAAAGTTGAGTGGTGTTTCTCAGATGGACTCCGTGGAGAACTTTTACAAGGACCAAATCAAAATTCTTGAAGCAAGGGTGAAAGAGCTTGAGAAGTTGCAGGAATCAGATGCAAATCCTGTGCATACAGGGGATCCTGAACCTGCCGTGGCCTCCCTGATCGAGGAGGACACTCCATACCAGTACAACGGCAACCCCAGTATTGATGAGGATTGAAGAGTGGAAAGCTCCCGCGCAAATTCAATGAAAATTGGAATGTGGAAATAAACAATCAGCTTTGACTAATTAATGTATTATCCCTGATGATGCATGGCTTGTATATTTTCAGGGTAGATGGTTTATAGAGTTTGTATGATTAGAAGTTTCACTGCAAAATTAGGTCTAGCAGCCTCAATTTAGTCAAATTATTAGCTCACCGTAAGGGTTCGCAATGAAAATCAAAGGCAGAAACCTCCAAAGTGGAAAGCTGATGCTATCGTTTGTTTGTAAGAACCAATCTTATTTCACAAATTTCTTCATGATAGTAATTGAACGGGAATCTTTTGTTTATTGACTTGGCCACGCACCAAAAGAATAGAAAATCAGCAAAGAACTTAATAGAGTTCTTTGCTCATGATTTTTTTTTTCTTTGGGTGTGCTTAATCAACTGGCGTCTAGGGATATCTCTTTTTAAGAGGAAGGCGAAACATAAAATTGAACCCTGACCTGCAGAGGAGCACACACCACTCTTGCAGGGAGGGTTGACAAAATTTTTATGAAAGGCCACAACCGAAGTTCCTTATTAGAAACAAATAAATAAAAAATTTTTAAAAAAATTTAAATTAATAGATTGATAAAATTTAATGTAAAAATCAATAATATATAACAAAAATATTAAAAATATTATTTATAATTTAAATTTAATCGATATTTATTTAATAATAAAAATTTTATCAATATTTTTATTAAAAATATTTATTTAATAAATATATTAAAATTTTTTAAATTTTACATGTATAATTTATGTTATGAACTCTTTTAAGCTATCAATTTTAATTTTTAATTTTAATTTTTATTCATTCATTTCTAATAACAAATTTTAGAAACTTCATTTATAAAAGTTCATCTAAAATTTTTCTTGTTTACTCTTAATTCTTTATTTTTACTTATATATTCTTAAGTCCATTTGAACTGACGACTTAAAAAAATATAACTAACTCATAATTTTTAAAAATTTAATCAATGTACATATTATTTGAACTAATATTCAATCCACGAAAAGGTAATAAACTTGTAATTCCCAAGCTGGTATAGTTTTCCTGACCTTGTTTTTTTTTTTTTTTTTTTCCTCTCGGGAATTACTAATGACCTTCAATCATCACAATCAATGATAATTGATTAACAAAGCGCTCATAAATGCCCTTTTTACATGGACAATGGCACATACTTCTGCGTAGGGCCCCCTGCCTCAGATGGGAAACCAGATTTTATTTTCTTCGACGTGTGGGGTATGGCCTTTTGGGCACGCGGCTTGTAATAATAGCAGTGCTATATGTTCCAGCTTGGACTGGAAGTTTTACATTTTTGTTATGGTTTCATAGGAAAAACTTTTGATGTGATAGTTAGGAAACATCACATAATTTACGTTAAGTCCTTGAACGAGGATGATTGATGAATTTGTTAATATTTTTAAATATTAAATAACAAATTATTTTGTGTTTTTATTGTATTAATTTTTTTATATATAAAACTATAAAAAAAATTAAATTATTATCATTAAAATTAAAAATGTATCACTTTACAACAGTCTACACTATTGTTGATATTTATTATTTTTTAAAATTATAATATTTTAAAGTTCACATATCAATTTTAATTCCTCTTAAATTTTACTAACAGTATACGTGATTAATATGTACTTTTTAAAAAAAGTGAATGATGATAATTTGAAAAGTGAAAGAGATAAAAAATAAAAACGTAAGATATATCAAAAATTGATTAATATATACGATTTAAGTGTTACGTTATCGTTATTCTCTGTTTTTTTTAATGATTTTTTTATTCTTTATCTTTTTTACCTAATTAAATTATTGTTGTTATTATTATTATTATTATTTTTAGATATACATTGTTGTTAATCTTGAATCATATGAAAGAGTAAAGAAAAATTATTAAATGTTGTAGAAAAATATGAAAAACTATTGAGAGAGATATGAAGAATCACAATTGATTTTTTTTTCCCTTGATTTTTAATATATTTTTTAAATCAATGATGGATTTTCTCCCACAATTTAAAGCTCATAGAATTATATTATATATAGTTATACACCAATAAAATTTTATATTATGATTTTGCTTTTTGTCCCACTCACAGCCGATGAAAGAGCTTTTTCCCATATACCGATAAGGCACAAAGTCTAGTCAAGAGGAAAGAAGGGAGACCTCAAAGTCAAAAAGTTTTTATGATTAACTTCTTAATGAAGTAGTTCAATCAGGCTAGGGATCTTCAATGCTAAGTTACTTGGAAAGCCATGCTACTTCCTCCATTTTGTACCTTGTAGAGAGACAGTGACCAAATAACTAAGCAAGAGTCTTTGGTATTATGGCACAAATCATACCAACATCTGATCTTGATTTTGTGGATGATTTTTACTACTCAGCACTCTTTGATGTAGATGAAGACGAAATCTTTCCTCCATCTGATGCCAAGTATGCTGAAGAGTTGCAGTTTCAAGAGGCTCTCATGTCATCCACGATCTATTCACAAGTGGGTAACAGCATCTCCGACGCATGCATCACCCATGCTTCATCCCCAATATTAATCCAAGCCATGCCTCAGTCAGAGTTAGTGGCGATAGGAACAACGGACGCTGGTGAATCCTCCTTGAGCTTCTGTGAGATTTGTGTTGAAAGGAAGGAAAGCGATCAGATGTTCACAACAGAAAGCTGCGTTCACTCTTACTGTTCTGAGTGCATAACCAAGCATGTTTTGGCTAGGATTGAAGAAAGGATAACGATTATTACGTGCCCAGGAGTGAATTGCAGGGCTGTGTTGGAACTCGATACTTGCAGGCCTGTGCTTCCAGAGGGGCTAGTCCATCGCTGGGAAGATGCTCTCTGTCAAGAGTTTATTAATGCATTCCAGAGATTTTACTGTCCTTTCAGGGATTGTTCAGCCCCATTGTTGAATGATGATGGAGGAGAAGTTATTAGAGAATCTGAGTGCCCATTCTGCCATAGATTGTTCTGTGCTCAGTGTCATGTGCCCTGGCATACAGGGATTGATTGTGAAGATTTCCAGAGGCTTAATGAGGACGAAAGAGGGAAAGAAGATCTCATGGTGAGGGAACTTGCCAGGGAGAATAAATGGTCTAGGTGCCCCAAGTGCAAATACTATGTGGAAAGGACAGAAGGCTGTCCACATATGACTTGCAGGTCAGTTAATATCTAGTAATTTCTAATATTGATTCACCAATGATTTTGAATTATTGTTCTTGTCCATTTTTACTTTCTTATTTGAGAAAATCTAAATAAGATACCCATGAAAATGTGAATGTTCCATTGTTCCTTCGTTAAAGCATCTTATTTTTCAGGTTTAGCCAAGGGGCAAAGTTTGAAATTTCACAGGTTGAGTTTCTTTGGAATTTGGATAGGTAGATGTAGATCAGTAGATGTTATTCTCAATATACTGGAATGGGTTAAATCCTCTTGACCTTGAACTCATACAGATGGGTTTATACTGGACTCTTTAGAATTGTGGATATGAGAATTATCTTATCAACAAAATTTTCAGTTTGTGCATGAAAAACTTCTTAAAAAGAGCATTGATGATTGATCAGGGAGTTGCTCTATGATTGTGGTTGCAGGTGTAATTTCCAGTTTTGTTATGGTTGCGAGGAAGAGTGGAATAACAATCATGGTGGCTGCCAGAGGAATTGAGAGTACAACTAAACTAGACTACACCACAGTAAACATTATACCTCTAAGTTGTTTTTAGTCTCTGAAAGAAATTGTTTGCATCAAATGTGAAGAAGTCTAATTTGGTTTAATGTTCTAGTTCGTCAAGAACAAGAAGAACAAATGTACTGAGGTATGAACTATTTGCTCAACTTGCTACTGAGAATCGCTTGGCACTATTCTAAAAGTTTGTGACAGATGTTTGTCCATTGGAGCTTGTTCTTGATCAATCAAGTTACCAGTTCATTTTATAGTAGTCTTTTTGTTGCATGCTTAAATACGCATTAAAACAGAAGTATAAAACCATAAGAACTGCATGGGAGAAGCTATCAAAGAAGGCATCAGATAGAGTGCTGAACTCTTAGTTTTAATAATCAGGATTCAAGTGCTGATAACCTCTCTTGGGAAACATATTATCATTTTCAGTATTTCACTAAAGCAAGTGAAAGAATAATCTGCTAATTTACCTTCCACAACAATGCTTAATAGAAAAGGATTTTAAACTTTCTTGTGCCATGCATGAGTCATTGAATTTTCATTTAAGTGTTTGATTAACTTTTTCTGGAAGAAAATATGCTATATAGCTTTGGCAAACATGCTTTTGATCTCCTGCATTGTGTAGGTAACAAGGCAAAGATCAGCTAACTAGACAAATTTCCGTAAACAAAAGGTGTGCTTTTGGGCTCCGAAATTGCCCAAAAGCACTTACCTTACTGATAATCATAGGCCTTTGGTCCACTAGAAGATAATTTTAGGCACTTTCCTCAGTGACTGCATCCAAACTGTGGCTATTGTTCGTTTTCATTTAAAAATTTCATAATTTTATTTCGAAAAAAATTTTATAAATATAAATTTAAATCTTAATTATATATATATTATAATATATTCTCAAAATATCTTGATATGAGATTGAAGTATTACAATTACTCTATTCATAGAATATTCATGCCTAGACCAGAAGCAAACAACCTGAAAAGATGATCTCCCACATTCATGAAGGACATCCCAAGTGAGTCTCCTTTCAATTTCGTTTCTCTAGTAAGGAAATGTCTTTCTTTGCAAAAAGGAAAGAAATGCTTAAGAATACAATGGAAGAATCTGTTTTTCAATTTAAAATATAAAATCTCATTATAATACTTGTAACAAAAATATCATTTAATTGAATTTTTTATTATTTCTTAATGTTTTTTAAGGATATTGTTATTGTTTAAAAATTGTGTATGAAAAATTATATATTTTATTTTTTAACACTTAATAACTTTGTAACATTCCAATCTCATATTGGTATGTTTTGAGAATTTGTTATGATATATATATATATATAAATATATATAAATTTAAATCTTTACTTGTGAGACTTTTTTTATGAAACAAAATTGCGAGACTTTCATGTCAAAACAAACAGTACCTCGTAGATTAGGTGCAGATCTTCACAAATAATAGTAACAAAGCGGTTATAATGGAACAGGAACTATGTGTTATATAATAAGAATCACTCTATAATTTTAACATTTGGAGTGATCCTAGGTTTGTGATTCTATGTGTTTTGTGTTAGGCTTGAAGAGAATATTAAGCTTTACCAAAAAAGTTTATGATAACTCAATTTATTGTCGAGATATTTTGAGGATTTGCTTGATAAATATGTAAAGACTTAAACCTATACTTGTGAATATTTTTGTAGGATAAAAACATAAAACTTTCGGATCAAAATAGATAATAACTCGCAGATTAGATATGAATTTTTACATATATACACAACATATGATACAAATCTATTATAGTAATAGGAAAAAAAATTTCTTACACAAATCTATTAAAAATCTATCACAAATTTGTCACTATCTAATTTTAATAAAATTATTTTTTTATTAATTTGTTAAATGAATTAGAATTAGAATTACTTCCCATAAATGTAAAATTATCCATTAAATAGTGTTTCTATTCTTTTAAATTAAATCTTATTTAAATGATTTTTTATAATCAATTTTAGGTTCAAAATTCTAAATACATTAAAATATTTACTAAACTCAATGTGTATTAATTTTAGAATTAACCTTATTATTAATTTAACATAATCATTTAGATTTTTTTTGGGTGAAAACCTCATTATGATACTCGATATTGATATTTCAATTTATCAAATAAATCATTTCTTTCTTTTGTTTTATTAGGATTAAAAGTTCATCCTTTAAATAAATAGATACTCATCGCTCGTAAGAATATAGGTTTGAATCTTTTATTTTGTTTGATTGGTTGAAAAGGTCAATTTTATTTATGGTCTATTTCGAATTTATTACAAATATAATTCTATTCAGTAGTTTGGTTCATTATAAATTTTATTATATAATATATTTAAATTAATTAAAATAATATTAATTTTGATATATTAATTTTATAATTGATTAATATAAATGATGATAATAATAATATTATTAATATGATATTATTAATAATTAATTATATATAAAAATTAATATATTTCAAAAAATATTTTTATATTAGGGACTAAAATATTTTTAAAATTTAAATATTTAAAAATATTTTAAAAATTCTAAATATTTTTTATATTAGATAAATTAAATTTCAAAATTTATGTAACCATATGGATTATTTACATAATTTAATAACTGATTTCATCCATTTAAGTTGTCATATTAGCAACTAACACTACATTAACAAAGTCAATGTTCATGTTATCAAGTCAATGATCACGTTAAATAAAAAAATAAAAAAATTAATTATTAGATTAAAATTATTTAATTAAAATAATATGATGATTAAATTTATATAAATTATAATATAAAAATTAAATTTTAAATTTTGGTAAAATATAGAAACCTTTAGCATATTTGACCTATATTTATTATACCAACATATCCCATAAACCAGTTTTTCGTTGAATAATAAGTAAGGACAACATATATAGAATCGAAAATAAAAGAAGCTAATCTCCAAAAGGGTCCCAAACAAATAAGCAATTTCAGTAGAAACCTTTGATGCTTGGCATGATAATGGCTCACGTTGATTCTGTTTATCTTATTCAAACAGTATGGTTGGTTCTGATGGCATCTTTAATGAGCAATGCTGCCATATCTTGCATTTTTTTTAATGAATGGATTCTGCTCCTTTTTAGGGTTTTCAATGAACATTAGAAGACTGCTTTCACACCCTTCAAAATTTTTTAGGTGACATTATTAAATTCAAGAATAACCCAATAAAGGAGGGATGTTATGATATGATTTTAGGATTGAATATTGAAAATTTGATCTACTACATGATGAGAATTATTCTTGTCATATCCCTCCATCCATTTTGCATTGAGGTTAACTTTAATTAATTTGCTAATTAATTTTCCTTTCAGTTCCACCAATTACTTACGTGGTAATAAAAAATATTCGTGAAAATTCTTAATTTTTTTAATAGAAAAAAAGTAGCAATTTAAGAACAATAATAAAGATTATAAATATTAAAATTTGAATATTAAATTTTTTTAGATTTTAAAAATAATTATATGAATCAACTATATTAAATATCAAATTCAATTTATCATGAAAATACGAATATATATATATATATATATATATCCAAACAAAATAGGCATTCCTTGAACATATATACCTAAAGGCTACTTGACCTTGATTATGTAAATTTGAGAAAAGCCATCTAATTCAAGTGTTTATGTTTATATATATAAGAAAAAATTGCGTATAAAGCAAGATTTGACATTCTAGCCCCTTATACATTATTAGATAAGAATAATGCAATTAGAAAGTGTGATATATATTAACATAAAATTATCATTTCCAAAGGACATGTACAGCTTCTAGATTCATAGCTCTTCATTTTGCATTTTGTCATGTTTTCCTAACCCCCCAAACCAACTACAGCAGTCTAAATTGACTATCTTTTTTATTATTATTTTTAAACAGAAACAAAAATATACTGTTTTAATTCTAAGTTTTGAAAGATGTTCAGTGGTGAGTGATTACAATGGAACAGCCTTTGAATTATTTGAATTATTATTTAATTACTTATAAAGATTATTATATATCTAACTTTAGTATTTTTTTTTTAATTTTCTTTTGATCCATAAGTAATATTGTCTGATACCCTAAACAACTTTTATACTCCATCACTTAGAAATTAAGTCCATAAATTTGGTATACTTCAAAACTTTCAATCAAATCAAAGCTAAAATTTCCATAACTGAACTCGAAATTCTACGATCAATTTTCAAATCAAAAGTTGGATTCATAATTTGTCTCATTTAGCATTTACTTTGGCCGAATCAGATTAAACCAAGTTTTAAAAAATTTATGATTCATGATTAATGCACTCATAGTAATTGCAGCCGATATAATGATAAAAAGTAATCTTTTCTTGTTTCGTTAATCTCATTGCTCACTCGTTCTCAAGATTCAATTCCCAAAATTTTTAATTAATATGTTTCATATTATAATTATTTTAATCAATGTCTCAAATTATAATTATTGAAAGACGTAGGATAAAACAAATGACATATATGTTCAAACACACACACACACATATATATATTATAAATTTATTATATGTATGTATATATATACATACATAAATTATCATATTTATTGATAGTAAAATTTTTAAATTTTGCTTAATAAGATGATACATATTTTTTAAATATAATAAAAAATTTATTATAAAAAATTAAACATATAACAATCTCTCTTAATTCTATCTATAAAATTAAAAACTTTCAATACTATTACATAAAAAAAAATACATATATGTATATATATATACATAATATATAATTTAACAACGTCACGTAGTATAATACATAGGGAAGATACAGTGATGATTACTAAAAAAAGAAAAAAATAAAACAAAACAAAACAAAAACGGTGATGATTAGTCATAAGGACCAAATGGGAGAATGAAAAGAAAAATGGGGGAGCTGTGGTTAGGGCTGTGTTAGGGTGGAAGAGCCTTCCAGAGTTTTAAAGTTTGTAAAAGTGACATAATCCACCACAACTTTTTTATCAATTTTTTTTTTTCCAAAGTTGAAGCCGACGAAACCCGCACGAGACTGTTTGGCCCACCATCGCATTTGTAGCTTTCATTGGTTCCTTAAACAAAAACTAGTTCAATTTTTCAAAAATGCTTTCAATTATAAGCCAAATTATTGGAACAAATTGGTCTCTTTTGCATTAATGAGGGCAATAGATTTTACACAACCTTATGCAAAGATATCATTAATCATTGATTAAATACAAATTTAATTTAATTGGATCATACATCTATTTGTAAAATATGATATCTAAAGTTCAAATTTTAATATATATAACATTATTTTTTTATTTTCAAATTTTGATTTTTTGTTAAAAAAAGTTTATATTTAATTCATTATTAGTATATAAATTTTATATGATGTCAGTAAATAAGATGATATTATTTAATTAATGAATAAATATTAATTTTTAAAATAAATATACAAAAACTTACTATTTTTAAAAAATTTATTTAATAATAAAATAATATTACTTAATTCACTTCATTAATGATGTGGTATTATTTAAGTTACTAATAACATATAAAATTTATACCATTTATAATTGGTAGTATATCAAACATAAATCCTTAAAAAATAATAGATATTTTTAGATTCAACAAAAAATGATAATAATGAAAGTGTTAATGAAATCTTAACATAAAGATTAAAATCAAAGTTTATGAAGTGAATATATTTAATTTGAATTCTTTATTTTCATTTAATATGCCATTTGTTGTTTAATAAAAATTAAAAATGCAAAAAATATTTGACAATGAAATGAAAAACAATCAGTAAAGAACATATTGACGCTCAA